GGGGTAAGGGCGCGGAATGGGGGTCGGGGGGGGGTCGAGGGAGTCGGGATCGGGGAATCACGCGGGAAGTGAGTGGGGAATCGTGCGGGAACCAGGGTCGGGAAGGGCGGAGGGGTCGCACAGGAGGATTGCGCGGGGATGGCGAAGTCGCGGAAGGGCGGGAAATGGGACTGGGTAGGCAGCGGGGGAAGAGAGGATCGGGGGGGGAAGGAGAAGAGGAGGAAAGAAGAAGAAGAGGAAGAAGGAGAAACGACGACGACGACGAGGAAGAAGAAGAAGAAGAAGAAGAAGAAGAAGAAATGTGGAGAGGGACGAAGAGAAAGAAAACGAAAAAAAAAAAGTTGCTGGTAACTTACCTGCGCGTCAGCGATGGCAGTGGTGGCAGTGATGATGACGTGGCAGCGGGTACGAGGCAACGCTGATGATGACGTGGCAGCGACGACGGAGACGACGTCACAATGATGTCGATGACGTGGCAACCTCGACGACAACGACGAAGAAGAAGATAGGACAGCGCGGGGAGGGAGGGCCAAAGCCGCTCCGATACCAGTGTGACGGAGCTGAGGCAGAGCAGCGATGTTGGGGAAGAGAGAGGGAGGGCACACACACACACTCACTCAACTCGACATCGACTTGACACAACTCGACGGACACGGACACAAAGTGGCAAAGTGGCAAAGTCACGAAGTCGCAATCTTGGTTCCGTAGACAATGTCGCAGCAAGTCATACTGAAGCACAAGCACTGAGGCCGAAAACTGAGTCCCCGAACTCAGCTTGAGTCCGGTGTTAAGTTATCGGACTCAAGTTGAGTCCGAGGGCAAAAGTGCAATTTGCCTCGGGGCTGCACTGCAAATCGAAGGTTTGAGCCTGGGCACTAGAATGTCGGATGGCGCCAAGTATCGAAATCCTGAAAGTGCCAGATGAGGGATTTGAGAACCTGCGCCAACTGCAGAGGGCACCAACAGTCAGAAACCGGAGATCAAAGACTCAAAAATACAGCTTGGCAGGTGGTAACCCGTAGACCAGGGATCGAGCCCTGGCTGAGTCCGTAACAAAGCTGGTGAAAATGCCTCAAGAGATAGAGGGAGTGGTCGCTAAATACCCGGATCTGTTTGAAGAGCCGAAAGGGGTTGTTGATAGGGAGGTCATTCATGTGATAGAGATTATCCCAGGGTCCAGTATTTCGAAGGTAGGATCTATCGGATGTCTCCAACGGAGCTTGATGAGCTTCGCCGGCAGCTCAAGGATCTCATAGAGAAGGGTTGGATCCGGCCGAGTGTCTTCCCTTATGGGTCTCCTGTACTATTTGTACCAAAGAAGAGGGGAACGTTGAGGATGTGCATTGACTATAGGGGCCTCAATGCCATCACTGTGAAGAACGCAGAGCCCCTACCGCGCATTGGTGACTTGTTGGACCGAGTGCAAGGGTGTTGGTACTTCAGTAAGATAGATTTAAAGTCTGGGTACCATCAGACTGCAATCCGGCCCAAGGATCAGCACAAAACCGCTTTTCAGACCAGGTAGGGTCTGTACGAGTTTGTGGTGATGCCTTTCGGACTTTGCAATGCTCGTGGCACCTTTCTATTTTAATATTCACACACACACACTGCCCCATCTATTATGGGGGGCGACAGTCCGATTGCTAATCACCGGCAAGCAGAAAGACAAAGTCCGAAAAGAGAGAACGAACAAAAGAAAAAAAGGGGAGGAGGGGGTATCCCCTCAAGCCCCCGTAGGAAACTGAGGGGCAGCAGCAGTGAAAAGAGGCGGGCGAACTCACAACCTCCTAGAGCCCCCTAGTGCTCCCACCGGGAGGCAACAACGCACCCAGTCATGG